ATATTCTTGGAATGACGACCCGTTTTTTACCATAGATTTTGCCAAATTTGGGTTTTCTTTTGGCAAACACATGTTTGTTCATAAATTTTATTTATATTTTGGTAAATTCTCAAAACCCAAATCCAAATCCCAAATTCAGCTCGAGAGCTGGTTTTGGCCCAAAATATTACTATTGCATTTTTTAAAAATTGCCCCAAACTTTTGTATTTTATAAAAGAGCTTACCATTTATTATTTTGTAACAATGTTGCTTCGTCTTCTCGTTCATCTGATAGTGTATTATGTAGTTCGTTATAAAAATGATAATTTTGTACCAAATTTATTTATGTTCAGGACTATAGTTTGCGATAATATAATGAATGTTATTGATGAAGGGTATTTGTGAATTGTGATAGTTTTTAGAACTTGTGGGTATAAGTCATGTTTCATGTTTTCTCAACCAAAAAAGAAAAGTGAAATATGTTTTGAAAATTGATGTCCAAACACATTTTCATCTTCAAACCAAATTTTACCTAAATCAGATTTTTCAAAATAAATTTGGGAATTTATGGTCCAACGTTAGCTTAATCTCTGTCACCTTATTGTTTTAATTTTCTGGCTTGAGATAGTTACAAGTTAATAGTATGTGAGATAGCAAATTAAATTTGCACTAAACAAGAAAAGGAGTTGCCTACAACGACAAAACTGGCCAGCTTTAAAGGGACAAGAGGAATAATCCATTTGAGTATTAATAAAAAAAATTATTTATTTTTGGCAGCAGAATAAACACTAATGAAGAAGACTTTGGCTGAAATATTCTTATTAAATTTCTCAATGGAATCAAAGATGACCCACGTCTGTTGATACTTTGTGGCTTGCTTTATTATTTTCTTCCTAAATAGAAGAAAAAAGAAAAGAAAAAAGTCAAAGAAATAATACCTTCTGAATTGTTTATTATACTCCAAGCAATTGAGAAGTTGCACTATCGAGGAGTATCGTAGGATAGATGAGATCCCTTCATTCTTAATGTTCGAACCGTTGAAATTGAAAAATTCTTGATAGGGTGTGTGTCACCCTTTAATCGGTCATATGCAGTGCACAAATCCTAATTAGTCGGACCAATAGATTTCAGATATTATATCAACAACAACAACAACAATAACAACCCAGTATAATCTTACTAGTGGGGTATGGGGAGGGTAGTATATACGCGGACCTTAGCCCTACCCTAGGGTAGAGAGACTGTTTCCGATAGACCCTCGACATCCTTCCCTCCAAAAACTCCCCACTTTGCTCTTGGGGTGCTTACCACTAGAGCAACTCACTCTTGTCAAATTTCAGATATCATATCATTATATCAAAAAAATTTGAGAAGTGCCATATACGGTTAAACCTCTTTATAAAAGCCTCATTTGTTCCGATATTTTTTTGCTGCTATAGAGAACTGCTGTTATAGAGGACATATATTATCACATAACATAAAAATTGGTTTCGACAAAAACTTGGCTTTTAGAGGGAATGCTTGTTATATAGAGATGTCGTTATACAAAGGTCTGGCCGTAAATGGTTAATGTGATGATGATTGACCACTTCTATTAAAAAATAAAGGGCAACCTGGTGCACTAAACTCCCGCTATGCGCGGAATTCAGGAAAGAACCGAACCATAAAGGTCTATAGTACGCAGTCTTACCCTGCATTTCTAAAGAGAAAAAAAAGGTCTTGCATGCACATCAACTTTTACAATTTTTTTTTTCAATCAATCATTTATATCCCCTCTTAAGAAGCATATCTCTTTTATTATTTGTCCTAACTGATCTGGCAGCATCTTTTCTTTGCTTCTAATACAAACTCCTCTTCATTTTCCCCTTGAGAAGAAGAAAAAGATTACCTATATATTTGTGCTTTTAACTCTATTCTTTAGTTTCTTTACAACTCTCTTGAATAGAGTCACTAAACAAGACTCTACTAAAATGGGAAGGCAGCCATGTTGTGATAAAATTGGATTAAAAAGAGGTCCTTGGACTATTGATGAAGACCATAAGCTGTTGAACTTTATTCTTAACAATGGCATTCAATGTTGGAAAATGGTTCCCAAGTTTGCAGGTTTCAGTTTTTGCTTTCTGTCTGTATATATTATATCTTTCTTTTTTTGTGTTAATCATTTGGTATCTGAAATACACTCAGCTTGACTAATTCAGACTCGTGCCCGGTATCACCGTTGAGGGATAAAGTGCTTTGTATCCTTAGGTATCATTTGGTACGAGGGATAAGGGATAAAAATCCCGATATTAAATTTGAGATGAGTTTATCCTATGTTTGGTTGGGATAAAATCGCAGTATAACTAATCCTGAAATTAGTTATCCCGGGATTGTAGTGTTATTTTTATTCCTATAGGAGGGTGGGATAACTAATCCTGAAATAACTTGTTTTCCAACCAAACGACCCCTTAGTTCTCTATTCCTTAGGATCGAACCCGAGACTTCTGGTTAACAGTAGAGGGATCTCAACCATTCCGCCACACTCCAACTCGATAATGTATGCATTTATTATATCTTTCTTTTTTGTGCTAATCATCTGGTATCCAAACTATACTCGGCTCGACTAATTCAGATTCGTGCCCGGTATGACCGTTGAGGGATAAAGTGCTTTGTACCCTTGGGTATCGTTTGATGCGAGGGATAAGAGATAATAATCCCGAGATTAATTTGAGATGATTTATCCCATGTTTGGTTGGGATAAAATCACGGTATAACTAATCCCGAAATTAGTTATCCCGAAACTGGAGTGATATTTTTATCCCTATGGGAGGTAAGATAACAATTTCGGGATAACTAATCCTAAGATAACTTGTTTTCCAACCAGACGACCCCTTAGTTCTCTATTCCTTAGGATCGAACCCGAGACTTCTGGTTAACAGTATAGGGATCTCAACCATTCCACCACACTCTAACTCGATGATGTATGTATATATCATAGCTGCAACGCCTACACGCGGAGTTTTGCAACTCGCATATTTTAACAATTTTTTTCCTATATAGATGATTAAAAGTACAATGCTTAATTTGTGACACTGAATTATTGTGTGATGAAGGTTTACAGAGATGTGGAAAAAGTTGCAGACTAAGATGGATTAATTATTTGAGACCAGATCTTAAAAGAGAGCCACTATCAGAAGCTGAAGAGAATCAGATTATACAACTTCATGCCTCTTTTGGTAACAGGTTTGTTCATTTGAGATAGTATAGAGCAATATTATTGCATATTTTTCACCATTTAATGTTGATTCAGATAAGGATTTAAGTTATATACACCGAAAAGTAAATAACGTTTATACTATGAGTTTAATTTAACCGATATAATAGGTTATTATTCTATTTTTCAGAGAGTTTAACTTCTATGCATTGTTACTGTAAAATTTTCAGCTCATCTAAAAGATAATTACATATAATCATCCGTAAAAATGAGATAAATAACTTGAAAATTAAGCAAGTTGCCTGCTATGACATGTTACAATTCATGGTAGTGCAAAAATCTTTACATTATTAGTGTATGTAAGTTATCACTTTTCAGGTGTCATTAAGAGTTAACTGCTGTTTGTAGGCCAACTAAATGTAATTTTGAAAAAAAACTTTATACAACTGTTTTTTATTATTCTATTGTCGCTTTTCATCTTCTTGTGCCGAGGGTCTATCGGAAAACAGCCTCTCTATCCCAGGGTAGGGATAAGGTCTGCGTACACACTATCCTCTCCAAACTCCACTTGTGGAATTATACTGAGTTGTTGTTTGTGTATAAAACTTAAAACTTTTCTGTTAAACTCTTTATGCAGGTGGTCTAAGATAGCATCACATTTTCCAGGCCGGACTGATAATGAAATCAAGAACCACTGGAACACTCGGATTAAGAAGAGATTAAAGCTTCTGGGAATAGACCCTTTAACTCACAATCCAATTAAGCCAATTAATCTTGAAAATCTTGAACAAAAACCAGACGAGATGATCACACAATCCAACATGCAAACACATGATCATGAAACAATGAATTCGTCGACAAGTAGTAAAACTAAGAAGACAGAAACAGACATCAAGATTGATGATATTACTAATGATTTCTCAGTAGTAGAGAATGAGTGTTCCAATTTGTGTGGAAACTTGGATGTGGACTTGTTGAGCAATACTACTGAAACTGTGTCATATTCTTTGGAAACTGCTGAATCCATCAATCTTTCATCAGCATCAGTTGCTACAGAATCCTCAAGTAATGTTGTCCCTGCAGAAGGACAAGACTCTATGCAGCAATGGTTTTACAGTGTGGATTCACTTTTCTCATGGGACAACAATGTCAATCAACATGGAGTTGGAGAAGACTTTTTCTTTTGGAGAAACTACAACCATTGATTACTCTATTTCTGTTCCTCCTTCTATCTCCATAGCTACATCTATCCTTTTCTATCATAAGTATTCTAGATTAATACACAACTTTCTCGAATTCATTTTCAAAAAGAGGTCCTTTCTGTTATTGAACTACTGCCGTGCGATGTGAGAAGCGCAAAAAAGCTCTAAGGTCCGTTGGGGTTTTAAGCGCAAAATGCAAATAAAGTATGGGCTTTAAGGAAGAAAGGCACAAACGGAGAAAAATTACAAATATGTATGTGTAATCCAAGACTAATATCTATAAGCATGTGTACTAAATATATGGGCAAAGAAATTGAAGAAAATTTACGATAAAGTGAAATATCAACTGTTTAGTATCGGCTCTTTCAGATTACGCTCGTTAGCAAGGAAAAATATGTCTTAGAGCCTTGATGACAACACTGAAGCGCATGTTAAGCAAGGTGTACCGCTCAACATGTTTTGAGCCTCGCGTCAGGGCTTAAACGCGCCTTTGATAACACTGCGATGAACATGACTTGTAAACTACACTAGTCAGTTTGGAAAAACTTCTCAAAAAGAAACGTTGATATCACACCATGTTAAGAGTTCGGTTATCATCTTTCATCAATCAGCCAACTAGATACACATAAAAGCCAAAGAACACATGCAAGGCATGTCACCAACATTGTTTCTTCATGCTTACATATTCACAAAAGAGGAAAGTTACTGAAGCAGTTTCTTTTCTCTTAAGAAGTTTCTTTACTTCATAACTAGTGTACAACAATACATATGCCTCAACACCAGCAAGTTGGGGTCGGCTATATGAATTCATTGTCCATGCCGCTCCATTTAGGCTCATCTATTTCAGTGTAACTGTATGCATGATTAAAATATATATTTTCTATTTTACAGTGGAGACATTTTCATATGAATGATGCATTATACATCTTCTTTGTTTTCATGATCGGAAGATTTAAGCAATGGTTTCTTGCCTATCACATCAACATCTCGAGAAGTTGCAGTCTTCCAAGCAGGATAGAGCACATAATGTTGCAAAATGAAGAGAATGTCAAAGAATATTGATATCTGCAACATTCATCCACCAAACCAAATAGTCAGAGCCTCATGATACTATCAATAGAACTGCTAACATTAGGAAAAAAGAGGAACTTAATTAGGAAGAAATTATTTTTTATTGGTTTTATGTGAAGGTATCCCAGTATCCCTAGCTCAAACCAAGAAGGCCTTGCACCATTTCCAGCTCTAATTTGCTACTTCCTCCGCCCCATTGACTCGGCACGAAGTTTAAGAAAGGAAGGAAGACATTTAAAATTTGTGGTCTAAAACAAACCATAGTATTTGTGTGGTTGTAAATCAATTTATTAAGGGTAAAGAAGAAATTATCCCCACTTGTGGTATTACACTGGGTATGTTGTTGTTGTTTGTAAAGAAGGAATTTTAAAAATAAATTGTTTTTAAATAAGGAAAGGTAGCATTCTTTTTGGGACTGCCTAAAAAGGAAAGAGTGCCACATAAATTGGGACGGAGGGAGTATATTTTATACCATTGGAAGTGTAACCCCTCATTATCTCATTAATTGATCTATAAAGAGAACAAAGTATAATAAAGTTTTTAAACAGCGAAATCAGGTATAATAGCTATAGACATGATGATCACAGCAAATATATAGATGGATAAAAAGTAACATTCCGTACCAGTGATAATAAAGTCTTGCCTATGTTTCCATAAAAGTTCACCCAGGAATCTGTGGAAAAGGAGTTTCAAACAGTATATTAAGCACATAATATAACTTCTCTTATACTTTACTAGAAATTTAACTAGTTCTGAAGAAGTCCATATATTTGAAAGACAGAAACTCACTTTGATCTATGGATTGCACTGCCATCTGTCCATAATTCGTCAAACCTCCAAGCAAGTCCAGCAAAATGTTGCCAATACTAAATCCAATAGTACTCTTCCGCTGAAAGTTCATAATAGCCTATAGATTTGAAAGAGGCAAGAAGTTAATCCAGACTGTAGAATGAATCTTACACTAACAAGCAGAATCAATGAAATACAGGACTATACACGTATCAAACAATTCTAGTATTTAAAGTAAAGAGAACCAAAAAGAGAGCCCAATTGATCGGAAGGTGCAAGAATTTTGAAAACAAACAAGCTGAACGTATGCAGTTATTACCTGAGGAATGTATTTAATCACTGTCATAACAACCTGCAACGTGCTGCAATCAAGAGTCAAACATAAAACATTAGCACTTGGAACATGCACATTACCAGTGAATCTAAATAACTCATACACCATGTATATAAGGTATAAAAACTTGCCTTTTAGAAAGAAAATGACAAAGAAGATATCAAGCTCATAAGGTACTTCAGAAGTACACTCATCACCCCCACCCCACCCCACCCGTTTTTGGTCTAGTGGTAAGAGCTCATCACGTGATGTGTCGGTTAGGCGGACGTCACAGATTCGAACCCTGCGCAGACAGAAGCCAGGTATTTAAGTGGAAGGGTAGAGGGACGGCCATTATCCATTGAGTTTCAAACCGTGTACCACTAGCCTCGGGGATTTCTCGGTTATCCAAAGGAAAAAGGTACTATGGAAGTGGCCAGCGAAGGCTGACGTATGATCATCTATTACTATACAAATCTCTTACCCTTTAAGTAAACACTCAAAAATCGGTGCCTTATTTGTTAGTCCTTATTAATCTTGGAAGAAGAGATATAGATAGCACGGGCAGCGCTAGCCTTCTAACTTCAATCAAAATAACTGATGAGATTTTCAAGGGGAGGAACTATGTTTCAATCAGGAAGGGTTCTTACTTGAAGCAAGAGACCAGCCAAAGCCAAGAATGGCTGGGGAGAGCTACGAACACACAAACTGCAACAGTTAACCAAGCAACAGACACGATCGCTATAGAAGTCTTTGCAACCTTCTGGTTTCCACGCTGTAAATAAAGCAATCATCGGCAAAGTGAGTAAAAGGCATTTATCAGGGTCTCAGTCCTTCACCTCATTTCCAGTTCCCTATCCATAGAAAATTTGAACTTAAAAAAGCAAATAGGAATGGTCCACTTACATCATAAATAGCAATCTGAAACAGGGTAAATGCTGTCAATAGAACAGCATGGACTGAGAAAGCAACATCATTGGCAGCCACAGGTATCATCTGCAGTTAAACAATCAAGGCAATAAGCAAGGAAGTCATCGAACTACATGAAAGCCTTCTTCGCATAATATCAATCAAGTTAAAAAGAGATCAAAACACTAAAAGTTCTTAAGAAAATGAGACAAGACAAAAGTACTACTACTACTTTGTGACCAGTTAGCAAGGAAACCCCAGTGGATTGCTTTCCAAACCAAAAATTTTGCTTTCACCAGCCTTCTTGTACTTTTTCTTTATGGTGTCTCACCAGCTTGTGTGCCTCACTAGCCCACCGAGCAGCTTGCTATAACTCATAAGGACAGATGCCAGATAATCCTTCCCACCAAAGATGGGCTTAAGCTAATGTCATTGTAGCTAAGATGTAGGCTTAAGCTAATGTCATAGTAGCTAAGATGTAGATTTTCCTTTCTTTTATGATGGGTGGTGTCCGGGCCAGCTCGCACACACTTCGAGTGTTCAACTGTATACCTGCTATCTCCCACCAGCACATGTACCGTGAACTCTGCCAACCAACGCTTAGGCAAATGGAAAGAATCACCTAGTGTTTTCTATGCCTCGACCTAGGATTTGAACATAAAACCTCATGGTTCTAAGTAGTAGCTACGATTTGAACCTGAGATCAATAGGTTATTACTCCTATGCTTAAATCACTCAAATTTCCGTTCAGTAGTTTGTTTTAAACCTCGATCCTACTTAAGTGCCAATTTAAAATTAGTAATCTATCTTAATTTTTTGTCCCCATATATATAATTCGAACAGAAAGCAGCGGAATTAAGCTAGAAAACCACAAAAAGCAAAAAAGTCAAACCTCATTATAGCCATATTTCTGACGATACTGCATCTGAACAGCAGAACTAAAGAACATGGAAGCATTATAAATGAGATACGATGAGTGCTTGGTCAAATTCAATACCACGAAATCGAAATTCAATCCCACCACACTGCGTTTCAATACACAAAACAAAAAGGGTTTAAATTAAAATCCATTATGGTATGAACTTTGATGTAAAAAAAATAGTAGGAAAATAAAAAGGGAGGACCTTTTGCGTCGGAAATTCAAGATGACTTGAGGGTAAAAACTAATGGACCAAGAGAAAAAAGCAATCCATCCTAAAGTATTGTACAGAACTTCCAGAGGAATTGAATTCCACGCCGCCATAACTTACTCTTTGGATTGTTTTTCTCCAAATCCAAACAAATGAATGAGTGAATCTTTATATTTGTAGTAAAGTGAAGATTCCTTTTTGGTGATGAAATATGGCTAAGCCAATGGAATCATTGGGTGCACTGTGTACGGTTTAAATGGCCTACTGACCTTTTGACCCTCCTGGGAAATGAACTGAATCGGGCCCCAAAGATGTGGCTATATATGTAAATGAATTCGGCCACGAATTGCGTCTCAGTTCACGCCTACTTCCATTGGGGGAAGTGCATAGCTAGCCGCTTTAAAGAGTAAAAATGGCACGGGGCGCCTATTTGATCGCCCCATTTAATTTATATTTATTTTTTAAAAGTTTTAACTTGTACTCACTTTTTAAACAATTTCAGCCCACTTTCTTCTCCTCCTCCTTCTTCTCCTTTGTTTTCTTCTTCTTCTTCTTCTTTCTTCTGCTGTTGTTGTTGGTGCTGCTATAAAATTTGAGTTCATGGGATGCTTGCCATAAATATGTTTATCAGATTATTTAAAAATAAATTATAAATAATTATGTAAGTTAGTAGACAATTATTTTGTGAATATTTCCACGTACGTAAGTTAGTAAACAATGATAATTTTATTTGTTTCACATTTATTGTTTTTAAAATTTATGATTTAGATACTGTTGGCAATCTGATTATTTATCTAGTATGTTAGAAATTTTTTTCAAAAACTTCAACTTATATGGTGCTGAAGTTTTTACAAATAAACTAAATAACTTCAGCATCATCTACTGAAATTTTTGAAAAAGCTTTATGACAAAACTAATGAATCCAGGACAAAAAAATTTCAGTTTTTAGTGCTGAAGTTTTTACAAATGAACTAAATAACTTCAGCATCTTCTGCTGAAGTTTTTGGAAAAGCTTATCCCGGACAAAAAAACTTCAGCTTATTTAGTGCTGAAGTTTTTATAAATGAACTAAATAACTTCAGCATCTTCTGCTGAAGTTTTTGAAAAAACTTAATGACAAAACTAATGGATCCAGGACAAAAAAAAAATTCAGCTTATTTAGTGCAATTACAAACAAAAACTTACCAAATAGAGAACAAAACTTCAGCTACTATGCTTAAGTTCAGCAATTACAAACAAAAACTTCAGCAAATGGAGAACAAAACTTCAGCTACTATGCTTAAGTTCAGCAATTACAAACAAAAACTTCAGCAAATGGAGAACAAAACTTCAGCTACTATGCTTAAGTTCAGCAATTATAAACAAAAACTTCAGCACACTTGGTTCAGCACACTTGCTACTTTAGGCCCGTCGCGAACAAAATAATATTCTTTTTTGTAGATAATAAGTTGGAGAATTAGATTTTTCTCCTTCTCTTAACTGTATTTAGTAACTGTATTTAGTTACTATCTCCAAAGCAGAAACTGGTTCAGCACACTTGCTACTTTAGGCCTGTCGCGTGATTGTCTTTGCTGCTTCAGCCCCATATGCTGAAGTTATGCGAAAAAGTGGGTATGCTTGTAATTTTTTTTGCAAAGCGGGCACAAGTTAAAACGTGACCCAAAAGCGGGTATAGATGTAAATGCCCTTTTTTAGGACTCTCATATAAGACATTAGGCAAAATATATACTTTAAATCTCTATAAGTTTACTCATTTCAAAATCACAAAATTGCACAAATATGATATTTTTTTTGAGGTGGTCTTTAACTTTTGATCTTCGTTTGGCTAATGAATAGAACTTTAAAGTTAAAAGCTAAAAGTGTTGTCCATGAGGCAAATGATGAACAATAGTTGTTAAACTTAAAATTCTCTATGAAGCAATTAGGGTCATATATTCAAGACCATTTGCGCATATTTTTGCATATATTGAGCTTTGCACTAAAGCATTTCTCATTGTAGCAAACATATGGTATCAGACCCTTTATAATGTCATTGATAAAACTTTCTTTTACTGCTCTACAAAGAGTTCCACTAACGTGGCAAAAAATAATTGAACATGTGATAACTAGTATGGGAAGGAGTGTCATAGGGTTAGATTGGAATATTGTACATGGAGAAATCAGAGGACTTGATTTCTCGCTGTCAAGTCATTTCGCAAGAACGCCTCGAGACCCCGAGGACGGGAAGCCACGACCGAGTTTCCGACCTCGGGGCTCGTCGAGGCCTGACTCACAGAAGTCGGAGATCGAAGCCAGGACAGAGGGGGAATCTCCCAAGGCACATGGTTAAGTCTGATAGGGCCGGCCTATCTAGAGCCTATGCTGAGGTGTCGCGTCAAGCCATCCCATCTCCATACTTTGTAATTAATGCCCACGTACTTGTAGTCGAGTTCCCCTCCTATATAAAGGGGACTCACACTACCTTGTAAGGGACTGATGTCGCTCCATTTCTCCACAAGTGCAATAATATATTCTCTCTCTTTTTCCTCTCTAACTCGCTTGCCCTCACTGGCTCGAGGCTATTTAGCTTTTATTGCCTTATTACTTGTTCTTTGTTTATCGCTTAGTATTGACCATAAAGAGTCTTGTTTAATCATATCCTTAACTGTTATCCCATTCCCGACTATCCCCGGTAGCTCGAGCTCGACCCTGAGGTCCCTCATCGACCAGTCCTATTCCCGGGCAGCGTGCCCCTTGGATTGATTACTATCTCGTTTTAGCTTACATTTCATCGTAAAACTTCACATTCTTAGCATCAAATGCTCTAACAACTAGCTTGAGAATAGATCACGTATTTTTAGAATCCCATTTACAAATTTAATTATTGTTACCATTTTTACGGTAAACAGTTTGGCGCCCACCGTGGGCTAAAAATAATAGTGATTATTTTCTTGCTGGTTCCATTGCACAAATGCACGTTATCTTTCATACTTTTTCTTGTCCAAAGATCTCCTGATTTTAGGTTAAAATGTCTGGCTTAGTAAACAAAGTCGAGAATGACTACCCCAAAAATCATGGCAGAAATGGTGTGGTTGTTCCAGTGGTTAGCACGATGTTGTAGAACCCCGATAATGCATCTGGGCCGATTCCAGCGGATGCGGGTTTGCGAGGCGCGCAGCAGGTTGACAAAGCCTCGTACACCGATGAGAGCATTCAGCATATCGACCAGCAGGAATCCCAACAAACCCTGGCTCGGAAAACACAGGAAGTTAGTCTTCACGATATTTTTGAAATGTTGCAGGCACAGCAGTTGGTTATCGCTCAGTTGTAGAGCCATCCGAAAACTCCCAGCATAGTAGCACCGGAAATAGCTCCCCATGCCGAATGAGTACCCGAAAGATCAAGCAACACTGGATCGATAACAGACCCAGCCATAGAGAAGATGCTTGGGGATCTCCCCAAGAGGATCGAGACAGGTTCATGGAGGTTCATGCAACAGTTGTCCCCCGAAAAAGCGATCCTGAAACCCGTTTCACGGAAATTTGGTACGTTGGAACTCCCTAGGTACGACAGGACCTCGAATCCTGATGAGCGCACCACTGCTTACACGTGCGCGGAAAAAGGCAGCAACCTTCAAGATGATGAGTTCGAGCCCGTCTCATTGAAAAAGTAGGGAAACACTCTCGAAAGAAACCATGATGTGGCGCCGTAGCCTAGCGCCTAACCTCATAAACTCACTTACCATACCAACAGATTCCTCTGCAGAAGCACACGCCGATGCCATCAAAGCAGTAACGGGAGAGCCCGACATATCCGAGGCCGAACAAAGAAAGAATGAAACACCATAGGAAGTCGCGCCTCATTCCCTGATAGAACGAATATGATCGCCCCCGGTTTCAGACAACTGGGCAATACAGGCCTTCGCCCTAAGCTTAAACGAACCATGCCCGACGACTCCAGGACATTTCAAACGAAGCTTGATCAGATACCCAACCAAGATCTGGTCGGGAGCCCGTACCCGGCACCAGCCACGAATCAGGGCCGTGGACGGCCACCCGGAAACCTTATCGGGCTTGGAGTACCCAAGTAGGCTCCCGGCAAAACGATTAATGCCAAACAAGTGGTGGTACCACCCGTGCGCCGCGGATAGGAGGAACACCACAAGATGCAACCTACCTCGCAACGATTGGGAAACATCTCGAAGGCAACCTCCTCGAGAAATCTTCGGTAGAACCAGATTCGATGAGGCACGGCTGGCAGGGGCACCCCGCCCAACAAAATATGATTTTAGCATTGCTATACCAAATATCGTGATCACCATAAGCGCAACCAGGGACGCTAAACGACTCAGACCTATTCGGCCAAGTCCCCTTCAAAAGAACCACGACCCGGTGTGGGAACCGCAGGACGCGCGCGGTCATAGGGTCAAAAATGGCCATCAGCTCAGGAGAACAACGGTCGTGCTTCTCAATAAAAATCTCCACCGAGTAATACCAAGCGATCATGCTCGGATCCAGACCTAAGGAAGGAAGGAAACCAGGAAGAACGAAGCAAAAGAGCCGTGGCGTATTACCACGACAGTGGAGGAGTGACGACACCCCTAGGGAAGAACGGGTCCAGGGATATATTCCAGAGGACACCCTTACATCCAGAGAAAAGGACACCGAGACTTCGCCTCGGCCTCACACTAACGCATTGGTAACCCTCTCCCTTATTTGATCTATTCCAAATAAAACATGTGTTCATGAATACAGGTGGTTCGATCGAGCATACTGGCAATGTCGGACCTAGGTGAATGGGGCGATTCAGACTAACAAACGAAATTGCTCCCGCGCCCTTAATCTTTGATGGATTCCAAATGGCGATCACCACAACAAGCAGGAAGACCGTTTTCTCGATATAGCCCATCTAAAGCTCGAGCTGGGACGCCGGGCCCTATACCATCAAAGAAGATGCAAAGTGTGGACGTCTTATTCATATGGCCGCGGGTACGCCGCCTGGAGATAGCGTCGGTCCCATTTCACCAAAAGAATGAAATCACACGCAAAGGGCGGAATAAAAAAAAGGTCGACAGAGAGTAATACGCGACAAGGGGAAATTCCCCACCATATGGCGCATCGCCGGCATCAATGCCTCCACCCTCGGAAAGATCAAAGGGTAAACCAATCACATCTTCGGCCAAGCCTGATTAAACACAACGGAGGGCTGCATTAGGGCTCATACCTCGAAAGGGCAACCAAATCTCGAAACGTCGCCTATACATCCCACGGTGAGG